TACCCATCTCGGCACACCCGTCACACGCTTCGTGGCCCCATAGGGAGCTCCACCGAAGGCCCCAATGCCACCGCCCGCATGCGTCCCCCACACCCATCGGCACACCCCTCACACGATTCGTGGCCCCACAGGGAGCTCCACCGAAGGCCCCAGTGCCACCGCCCGCATGCGTCCCCCACACCCATCGGCACACCCCTGACACGTTTCGTGGCCTCATAGGGAGTCCCACCGAAGGCTCCAGTGCCACCGCCCGCGTGCGTCCCCCATGCATATTTCGGCACACCCCTCACGTGGGGGACTTCCTGCAGCTGAAGTCGACGGGAGGCAAAGTGTCCCTCATCTCCCGCTTCCAGGAACTAGCGGCGGCGGGCATCAACCTCGCTCCAGAGTGCCAGGCCGTGATGAAGCTCTTCTGCAACACGCCGCTGTGCTTCGAGCTCCAGGCGTCCAACCGCAACAAGGACCCGAAGCTGAGGGATCTCATGGCCTTCCTGCGCAAACCGGGGAGGCAGGTCCCTCCGGCCGTCCGGGCCACGTGGATCGCCATGCAGCTGAAACCCGATGCTTGTCGGCTCCGGGAGGAGAGGTTTCAAAACGGCCACAGGATTGGGTCCTATTGGGACACCGTGGAGCAGTGGATGAACAGGCGTGCCCAGCGGGACGCGGACGTCCTGAAGAAGCCCCTCTTCCTCGGGCAAGCCGCCGACAGGTCTGCTCCGACGACGAACGTCAAGGACGCCGCCAAGATGATGAACTGTGCCAACCCGAAGAACACCGGTGGCATGCGCGGAACTCCTCCCGGTGCACGTGGGCATGCGGATCCGGCTCGGAGGCGCTCGACCTCAAGAACGGCCTCGTCAAGGATGCCGAGGGGCAAATCGTGCACATCGTCGTGGGCCCTCGGGATCGGGACGACGCCCAGAAAGTCGAGAGAGACGGGGAGAACAGGATCTATCTGAAGCGCTTGCCGCTGGGGTTCTGGGTGCGCATGGAGAAGTGCGCGAGCGCGCCCTTCGTGGACGACCTGAAGCGCCACGACGACAGCCCCACGGGGGACCTCGCGGGCCCGCTGGTGCGCGTCGAGCCCCGCACGTCGGAGCCGTTCATTTTCCGCACCTCCGATGTCACCCGGACGGGCTTCCCGTTCTCGCGCGGCAGGGCCATAGCCGCGGCGGCGTGCCAGGGGCGCGCCATGCGAGAAGGCGAAAAGGCGAGGGAACGGCGCCCCTGGGCAGTCTACAGCCGAACCTACTGGGCGCGAGCGGTCTGCAGTCGGACCGAGTCGGACCATCTCTCGGTTTTGAGGGCTCTCGCCCTGGGCCGTCGGCTGTCCGGCGCGCTGCTCCCTCGGCCGACGTCGCCCAGGCGCGATCCTGGACTGCAGCCGCCACGAGGTCGGGAACGGCGAGAAGGAGGACGACGACTGGTGGCTGAAGCTCTATGCGCTGCTCTCGCGCGCCACGCGCCACGAGGACCTCCTACTCATGCGGGCGCCGCGCATCGAGTTCTTCCTGGCAGGGCCGCCGGAGGGCTTGCGGAAGCAGGTGGAGCAGTTTGCGGCGCGCATGAAGCGGCGCAGGAGGGAGGCGACGGCCCTCGCCAGGGAGCTCGGCTTCGCCGAGTTTATCCGCGAGGCCTGACCTGAGGAGCGGCGCCCGCCCCCCCGAGCCGCGCCTTCTCTCGACTGCCCAACTAATTCTTTGGCCTCGCGCCGCGGACGACCCGCGCGCGTCGCTGGGACCCCCCGGGGCGACCGGCGCGCGTCGCGGGAACTCCGCGCTGCGTTCTTCCCTGCGCCTCGCTCGCCCGTCGTCGCTCTGCCCAGCGGTCAGAGCCTGGCCCGCTATCAGCCAGCCAGCTAGCTAGCTAGCTAGCTAGCTAGCTAGCTAGCTCTCTTTGCTCCGCGCAGCGGACGACCCGCGCGCATCGCCGGGGCCCTTCTGGGGTGACCGGCGCGCGTCGCGGAGACGCCGCTCCGCGCTGCGCCCGCAGCTCTGGACATTGGAGTGCGCGGGCAAAGAGGAGGGAAAAGAAGGGGAGGAAGCGGGCGCGATCCTCGTGAGGGGCGCGCCGACACGGGCGTCGCGACGCGCGGGCGCTGCCGCCGGGGTTCCCGCGGAAGCCTTCTGCGGCGGCCACGTTCAGCGTCACGAGTGCAAAGACAGGCGTACACGAACCATTCACATTCATATACATTCACACGAGGCGTAGCCATGATCGCACTCGTGCAAGTATATTGACTCGCGCGCAGACTCGTTCACACTTAGACTCACTCGCGCTCAGATTCACCCGCGCGCAGTCTCTCGTAATTCAACTAATCGTTTTCCTTCGTGTTGTGCACCACGCCACATTTCGACGCGCCCCTCATGCGGTTCGTGGGCACCACCGAAGAACATATTCACAATTGTGGTACTCACAACTGCATATGGTTGGGTCCTTCGCCGGGATAATGAAACGAAGGTGGAGTGCCCCCCCTCCCCCCGCCGGCCGGGAACCTGCGACTCTGCCCGCCGCTCCCGCGCGGCGCCCCAGAATTGTCAAGGGGGCCGCTCGCCCGAGTCATCCCACCGTCGTCGACGACCGCCGTCTACCGATTGCTGCCACCATCCGCCATCTCCGCCGCCATCATCATCACCGCCATCAACATCGTCACTCATGATCGCCAACATCGTCAGCGCCTCCTTCAAATGCCACCGCCACCCTCGCCTTCCGTCTCCTCGTCGGCATGATCGTCACAATCATCGACATCGCCGCGGGCCCCGTCGTCGTCGTCGAGCATGCTCGGGCCCAGAGATTTGCTTGTTCGGTCACAACAAAATGGGGCCGCCCACGCTCCCACGCGCCTGCGTATCTGGCGGCGGGCCGAGCAACAATCAAATTAATGGTTGGGCCACGGTCTTCGTGATGGGTGCCCGAATTGGGTGGTGCCGGTGCGCGGATCCTCCCATTGGGGCCGTAGGGGGACTTTTTCAATGTATATTGGGCCACGAGGCATGCGAGAGGTGCGGCGGAACGGGCGGCGCCGCCATGCGGACTATCCCACTCATGCCGTACGTGGGCTTCTTTCTGGGGCCACGGTCTTAGTGGGGGATGTACCGAAATGGACTGCGCCGCCATGTGGGCCTTGCCACGGGGACGGAAGGTGCATCTCCCGATGCGGCCACTTGTGAGGGTTGTTCCGAAGTCGGCGGCGCTGGCACGCAGACCCTGCCACTGGGGCCGTAGGTGGTGCCACCTGTGCGGTCACGGAATGTGCGAGGGGTGCGCCAAAATGGGCGTGGTATTGTCAGACGTCTGCGCCGATGGAGTCATTCGGGTGGGCCCGTTGCGGGGCTACGATCCTCGTCGGTCCCAGCACCGCCATATTCCAGAGCCCACGGCCAAGAGCACGAAAAGAGTCAGGGGTGTGCCAAAATGGGCGTTGTGCCGCCGTTGGCGCCGACTGACACCCTATGTGGGACTCCCTGTGGGCCACGAAGCGAGTGAGGTGTGTGTGTGTGTGTGTGTACCGAGACGGGTGCGGTGACGCCGTACGTCGGCGCCGATTGGGATCAGCAGTGTAGCTTACGGGATACGAAACGTGTGAAAAGGGTCTGCTGAAACGGGGGCCGTTCGGCCATGCGCCAGCGCCCACTGAGACCACAGGTGGGGCTCCTTGATCACGTATGAGGGGTGTGCCGGAATGGGCGCGGTGCCGCCATTCGCCGGCATTTGGTGAAACCGAATATGGACTTCTTATTTGGGGCCACGAGGCGTGTGATATGTGTGTGTGCCAAAATAGACACGAGGAGAATACAGGCGAGGAGGGGAGAAGGAGGAGGAGGAGGAGGAGGAAGAGGAGGATAATAATAATAGTATTACTAAGAAGAAAAAGGAAACACGCGCGCTGCTGATTCAATGCGATGAGCCAACTCAAACAGGAGGTCTGGGAGCAACATCTTGAAGAAGCACCACCAGAGCCTTCGACCTCACTGTTCATCCCGCTGCATGTTTCAAACAGGATCAACCTGCACTTGTCCCGATATCGTGCTTTTTCGCACTGTGGACCCCCGCAGCCTCGACCCATTCCCCAGGATCGGCTCTCATCCTGAGTCGTGCTTTACCAGCCCATGAGGCCCAGTACGGGCCTTTGCGGGCCCCACGTGGTGGGACAAAGGATACCGATACCCTAGACCGGTACTCCGTGGACCCCTCTTTGGGCGCGTGCTGACCAGGAGTTCGAGGCGAATTCAGCCGTGGCGACGAGTTCGAGCCGAATTGCGCCGTAGCGACGAGGGAAGGGTAGCGGTATCCGTATCTCTCCTTCCCTTGATCATCTGGCCGCAGTCATATTTCTTCTACTACGCGAGGGGGCCTACGATCAGGAATTTTGGCGTAATGTGTCGCTCCGCCGGGTCTGGCCCACGCTCCACGTTTCGCCATTGCCAGGCGTCAACGTCACGAGCTGCTCCCTGCCTCTCGCCCCGCGCAGCGGAGCGACACGCCATCCGCTTGCAGCGCATACCTGCCAGGAAGCCAAAAGGTACCGATACCGCTACTCCGCAGACCTCTCCCCGGGTGCGCTCTGACCAGAATCTCGAGGCGAATCCAGCGGTGGCGACAAGGGCCGCCCAGGAGGCCCCAAATGGGGGAAAACGGGGGAAGGGCAGCGTCATGGGTACCCTTTCCTCCTCGGAGTGCCGCCGGGGCCGCCGCCGCGACGAGCTAAGCAGAAGCTCCTGACCGCAGGCGCTGCTGTCTTCGTCGTCGCTGGCAGGGCTCAAAGGCCTGCCCGTGCGCGCGCCCGTCCCCGCGGCAGCGGGCCGCCCTTCCTCACCGAGCGCGTTCCGCTACTCGCCCACTCGCAAACGTCAAAAAAAAAAAAACGTGTCTGCCTCGACGCAAGGGATCGTGAAGTCCCCGAGGCGGATCCAGGCCATTTGCGAGCAGCCACTCTGCGAGTCGTGGAACGCGCTTGTCGACCTCCGCCTCTTCGCGCCAGTGCCCCCCCTCCGCCTGAGGAGCTCGCCGAGGCCCTCGGCGTGGGCCGGCGGCAGGACGAGGCCCGCTCGCGGCTGTCGCGCGCAGAGGAGCGCCGCGGTTGCCCGCGCGCGTGCGTGCGCCTCTCGCCGGCCGTCGTCGTCGTCGTCGTCGTCGCCGTCGTCGTCGTCGTCGTCGTCGTCGTCGTCGTCGTCGTCGTCGTCGTCGTCGAGAAGGGCGGCGAAGAGGGCGGCGAGGGAGGACGGCGAGGAGGGGAAGGCAGCAATGCTGCGACCCCCCCCTCGTCGCCACAGGCGGGCCTGCCACGAAGAACGGGTCAGAGCGCAGACCAGGAGAGGTCCGTGGTGTGGAGATCTTGTCCTCTCCCCGTCGGGCGCCTCTGGCCGCAACGGCGCTGCGTCACCGATGAAGATGCGGGCCTTCGACCTCACCTGCTGCCCCAGACTCGCGTGGGCGGCCTGTCCGTGCATCCCAGATGGGGGCCCCGATGCATCGCCGAAGTCGCCGATGCAACAGAAAATGCACTGGCGATGCACTGGCAGGGCTCGTTCCGATTCCTCCGGTTCGATTCGATTCGACTTCGATGGTTTCCGATTTCGATCCGATTCGATTTGGGATTCCGATTTGGGCTCCGATTTCTCATTGGTGGCATACGAGCCTCTGAGTTTCGCCGATTCGACTTTTCCCGACTTGTCTGCCGATCTCCGCCGATCCGATCCATTTCGAATGCCGATCCGACTTATCGATTCGATTCTGGGGTCGCCCGCACTGGCGATGTGGCACGATCTTCTGAACCCATCTACTCGGGCCCCCTTTCGGAGGTCTCCGATCGAACTCGGGCGGCACAAGAGCCGCCGACGGCCCAGGAGGCTCCAATAAGTCCAACAAGTAACTACTCAGAGACGGTCACACGACGCCCACAAGAGGTACCCAAGAGGACCCCTGGACTGCCAACCAACTTGTGTCATAAGACAACGGAATTCTGTAGTTGTTTGAACTGTAGTATGAGTTCTGTATTCTTTGGATTGGAGAGACCTCATAGCCCGTTCCGTCGACCCTGAAGGGGGATCAGCAGACCCCAGGTAGGCCGCGATGGAGCCGAGAAACGCACGAAGGCAGGCCGACGACTACCCCAGAATGGCTTCGAGGGCACCTCGAGACTGGTGAAGGGTCAGATCACCGTGCCACATCTATCTAGTCTAGTGGCTGTCGGCCCAGGGTCGCGGACCAGAGACCTTTTAAAGGCAGATGCGGGTCTCGCGGAGTGTTTTTCGGAGGCCTCCTGGAGTTCTTTCGAGGGGGCTCCTAGCGGAGACGGCCTCACGACGCCCAAAAAGAAACCAGTAGCACCCCAAGACTGCCAACATATATCAGATGACACGGAATTCTGAAGTTGAGCTCCATAGTAGCTTGTAGTATGGACCCATCATGGTTTCTGTTTTCTCTTTTTCCCCAAACAGTGCTTGCCCTTGGGAGTTCTTCTTTGTTTTCTGAGGAACGGGGCCTGCGTGTTAATCTGCGGCTATGTCGCCAACGTCGCCTACCTCGCCGCCCCGTCGCCGCCTCGTCGCCGCCAGTCGTCTGGGCCTGCGTGATGGTCCCGCTGCTACGTCGCTACCGTCGCCGCCGTCGCCGCATCGTCGCCGCCCGTCGTCGAGGCCTGTCTGGCGGTCTGGCGGCTATGTTGTCGCCGTCGCCGCCTCGTCGCCGCCTCGTCGCCGCCCGCCGTCTGCGCCTGCGTACCGGCGCCGTCGCCGCCCCGTCGCCGCCTCGTCGCGGCCCGTCGTCTGGGCCTTGCTGGCGTTCTGGCGGCTATGTTGTCGCCGTCGCCGTCCCGGCCCGTCGCCGCTGCCCCGTTGCGCAACACATTGCACCACATGGATTGAACCGTGTCGACTGCACCACATACGATGCACCACATAGATTGTACCACATATATTCTCCGTTCTGGACACAGACATGACTCTACCCCCCCTGGGATTGTCCCCCCTTTTTCGTATTGAAATTTACATGCGATTCTGCCCCATCGTCCGTCCTAAATCTGAATTGGCACCATCCCAGGGGGGCCGGTATCCCCCCCCCGCCGTCCTCTGCAAAAAATACAATGCGCGCGCACTCGTTTATCAAAAATCCTCCATTGCCAAGGGCCCCTTGCAAACAATCAGGCGAAGTGCACACGCGCGCGTAGTCGCGCGCGCGCATGGCGAAATGTTGTAAATACCGTCGATATCGTAAGGATTTCAATGCCGTGTGTCCAAGAAACATATACAACACACGGTTTCGCAACACGGATTTTCAAAATATGTTTGAGCTGCGCTCTTGCAAAATTGTAAGAAAACCATAGTTTTTGCACAATGTTCAGAAAGTGCTTCCAAACGGGCTTCGCGCGCGCATGTCGAAATCGTTTGAACGCCCTTGCGCGCGTGCCGTCGCGATAATCCTTCTGCAAAAAAAAAGAGAGAGGAAGTGCGCACGCGCGCGTCGTCGCGCGCGCGCGTGCCGAAATCCATCGAAAACCTTCGGTTTCGGGACGATGTCAAAACCGAGAGTCCAAAAAACATAAAACACATGGTTTCGCAAAATCAGTTTCCAAACAAGCTTTCGGTCGCGCTCATGCGATGTTTTGGAAACCATAGGTCTTTGTTCAATAGCTTCATGGAGTTCTGCCAAGCGGACCTCTGGCGCCGCATGCCGACATCAATCGCACGCCCTTGCGCGCGTGCTGTGAGGGCACGATCCGTGTCAAATAACCCCATGCGGACCCCTCTCGCGCGTCGGCTGCGCGCGCATGTCGAAGTCTTTCCAAAACCTTCATCACCGGCGCGAGGACGTCGTTATCGTCGCCGGCGTGATCAGCATCGGCGCCCGCACTGGCCACGCCGTCTCTGTTGTCAACATCGTCACCAGCATCGTTACTGTCATCATCGTGCCTGCCGTTGTCGACGTTGCCATGATACCGCGCCCGCTCAAATCGCCGACTCGCAGTGAAGTGCCCGCTGGGATGTGTCCAGCGGTCAGCGCCACCGCCGCCGCGTCGGTCGCGCCAAACTAGCTGGCCGCTGCGCGCGCGTGCTTGGGTTGGCGCGGCCGCAGAGATGGACCAGCCAACGCCAAGTAGGCATCGCAATCGCCACCGCATTGGTTTTGCAAACCAAGTTGCGGGTGGGCGGGTGTGATGTTTGCAATAGCATGGGATGTGCCAACTCGTTTGTTAAAGTCAATTGCACCACATATATCGCACAACGCAGATTGCACCACGTATATTGCACCATTTATATGATACGCCACATATTGTTCCATACCGCTTGCACAACATATTTTGGACCACATATATGGCACAACTTAGGTTGCACAGCATAGATAACACAACCTATATTGCACAGCATGTATTGTACAACCTTCAACGTACCATCTATACATATATATATATATATATATTGCACAACACAGCTTGCACAACCTAGATTGTACCTCACATATATATATATATATATATATATCCAGATATACCTATATATATACATATTGTATATATATATATGTTCGTACACCATCGATTATTCCACCTATTTTCAGTAACACACTGTTTGGGGCCAGCGCTGGCTCGCATTGTTTCTAGCATGATTCATAGATGGCTTCAAAGAGCCAGAAGTGCACCCAACAAGGGCCCGAAGGGCCCGATGTGGTCCCAGGCTTCCCTTCCCGACGCCGGCCTCTCCAGGAGACGCCCGAGACGCTCCAAGATGCCGCAGTGACGGCCCACGTGTGGCCTACAAGTGAGCCGAGGTGTACCAAGATGGGTCTTCCACGGACGACCAGTGGGCACCGTACCGCCATGTCGTCTCCCGAGGCGCCGTCAATCACCGACCCACGAAAGGTATTGTGAATATCTGTTCGGCCCTCGGGGCCGAACAAGTATGCACCGCATCGCGTTCCGGCGTGGCTTGACGGGAGTCTAATGTGGTATGTTGCGTGAGCGCCCTTCTCGTAGCTCTGCAAGGGTGTTCGAGGCTCGGTCGGTCTGGCAGCGTTGCGGTCGGTTGCGCTCGGTCGTTTCGGCCCGGTGGTTGGTTGTTGTCGTGTCGTTGCTTGCGGCATGTTGGTTTCGGTCGGTGTCGGGTTCGCTGTCGTTTTCTGTTGGTTCTCGTTTCGGCCGTTGCCGTGGACGGCCTTGCTCGAAGGCAGTTCAGCGAGAGCCCGACAGGACTCACGATGGGTTCAGTATGCTCACAAGATGCCACATGAGGGTCTTACGATGACCCCAGCGCGGGCCCACGGGACCCCAAGACAGCGAAGTGCGTCCGCGCGGGAGCCCAGGTGTGGGTGATGAGGAGGCGCTGATGGAGGAGGTGGAGGAAGACAAGGATGAAGGAGGAGAAGGAGGGGGGTGAGCATCACTGCTTAGTCTCCTCTCATCCCGATCCTCCTCAGCATTGCTCCTCCTCCTCCTCCTTCGCCTTTTCCTCCTCCTCTTCCTCCTCCTCTTCTTTCTCCTGTACGTCGTGATTCCTCCTCGTCCTTCATGCTGGCGCAGCTGGACGTGGGGCTGGTGTGCTCCCGCCTGACCGCAGGGCGCCCGCGCGTGGGCCCGCCTGCAGCGACTCGGGACAGGACGTGTCGCCGCGCACGAGCGGGAGCGGCGCTCTCGGATTATCCCTGCGCGGCGCGAGGAGGAGGGGGAGGAGGAGGAGGGCGAGGAGGAGGAGGAGGAGGAGGAGGAGGAGGACGAAGAGGAGGAGGAGGAGGAGGAGGAGGAGGAGGAGGAGGAGGAGGAGGAGGAGGAGGGAGGGGAGGAGAAGGAGGAGGGAGGAGGAGGATAATGAGGAGGTGGTGGAGGAGGAGGAGGGGGAGGAAGGAGGAGGGAGGAAATTGGAGGAGGATGAGGAGGAGGATGCGGAGGAGGAGGGGGGAGGAGGGAGGAGGGAGGAGGGAGGAGGGCCGCCGCCGCCAGAAGCGTAGTGCCCGAAGTCCATCGGACAGCACTGCCTCATGGGCCGCCGCGGCGCCTCGGGAGGGCGGGGCCCAGACCCCCTCGAGCCATGAACAATAACACCGCGGAAGGTTTTTCGATACACTTCTGAAGGGGCCCAAGGACACACAGTCAAATGCACACACATCCCAGGATCATCCATAGTTTCCAATGTTTTCCTGGACTTTCGTCGTCCCCTCCACTTCCCAGGTTTTCCCATATCTTCTGGGGAACCGGCGATGATCTGTGTCTGTGTTTTTTTGTTCCCCTCCTGAATCTTCAGGCTCCTGGGGCCCTTAACAGGCCTCGGGACTGTCAAAAAACCGATTCGGGATGAAGAACCAGTCCCAGGGAATAGGTTGAGACCTCTGGGGGTCGACGTAATGAAACAATCGTGACGTCGGGGGTTTGTGTAGGAGGAGTAAGAGGAGGAGGAGGAGGAGGAGGAGGAGGAGGAGGAGGAGGAGGAGGAGGAGGAGGAGGAGAGGAGGAGGGAGGAGGAGGAGGAGGACGAAGAGGAGGAGGAGGAGGAGGAGGAGGAGGAGGAGGAGGAGGAGGAGCAGGAGGAGCAGGGAGGAGCAGGAGGAGCAGGAGCAGGAGGAGCAGGAGGAGCAGGAGGAGCAGGAGAGCAGGAGGAGCAGGGAGCAGGAGGAGGAGGAGGAGGAGGAGGAGCAGGAGGAGGAGGGGGGTCATCCCTCCTGCCTGCCCCCCCCCCCCTGGGCCGAGGATGCCTCGGCCCTGCGCGCGGCGCTGGTCGAGGCGGCGGCCGCGTGCGTACCCGCGCACGAGCTCGAGGGCGCGCGCTCGAGGTGTGCGGCGCTGGAGCCTCGTTCTTCTCTTGGCGGCTACAGTGGGTGTGCTGACGCCGGGATATGGTTTGCGATCGGCGCCGTTGGAGCCTATAGGTCAAGTAGGGGATCGACTACAGAATCTATTCTGCCCAAATTTGATTTCCCGGCGAATGTGCGACAAATACGGGGAACGTCCCGTAGACCGACTAGCGTTATGTTAATCATGTGTTCCGCAAATTCGACGGACCAATCAATCCTGGGGTGTCTCCATTCTGCAGTTGATCGCCCGCTCAGACAGGGGATCACAACGTTGCGCCAAAGGTTTGATGAGCCCTCGTCGCGGACGGGCGGAGATCTCTGTCGACGTATTCACCCGTCCCCCCCCCAGGCTCGGGTTGGAACGGTTGGAAACCACACCCTTCGCAAACAACACCCGTCGGAGTCGCCTGTTGTCCTTTTCGGGCAGCATCAAGCATGAATAAACATTGACTTTCGGAGGTCCGGGCAGATTGCTTGCTAAAATCGGCGCTGGAGCCCCCTGGCGGCGCCTCTGGCGCCGCTCCTGGCGCGCTCCGCGCGCAACGGAGGCGGGTCAGCGCAGATCAGAGAAATCCGCGCGGGCTTCCCAAAGTTTGCGTATATGCCGATACGTGTTCCCCTAGTTCTCCCGCGCGGGCAGCCAGGCCGCCCAGGTGAGCGACGGAAGGAAGCGGGTCGACTGCGCGGTCATTCGCGCTTAAAGTTCCCGCGTGAGGTCGCGCGTGAGCGCCCTCTTCTGCACGTGGTGTTCCACGCTGGCGGCCCGCGTGCTAAGCCGCGGCACGGCGCCGAGTGTTCTTGCGCAGGGCCGGCTTCTTTTCGTCGCTCAGGTGGGGTCCTATCTGGTGGGGTCGGGGGATCACGCCACATCGCCGGTTCGTCGGCAATGCGGCTCGGTTCGGAGCCATGCAGCCCGATCCTCCAGCCCCGCCTGCCCGCTCCCGTTTGGGCTTCTGGGCGGCCTCCCGCACCAGCAGCAGCGACAGCAATCATCTCAAGAACGGCGGCTCCTGCGTACCTGTGTGGCTGACGGTGTGGCTGTGCCGCTGGCCGCGCCGCACGCTGCACCGCTTGATGCTATCACTTCTCCTCTTGCTCTGCCCTCCCCTGCTGCTCTCCTCCTCTTTCTTTAGCCACGGGGCGGCTTGTAAGAAAAGTGCGTACGCTGCTGCAGGTCTGCGCCGCGCCAGGCATCGGGTATCCGCCCTCTTCGCTTGCGATCGTGACCTGGGAGGGCGGCTTCTCTTGGCGGGGACAGACGGAGCCCAACGGGCGGGCGGGCAGGCGGGCTCGAATTTAGGCGGTCCGTTTGGGTGGGGCGGCCCCTCGGCCCGGGCGATCGGATCGAGTCCGGCGGACTCTCGCTGGGGCGTCCTCCTCGTCCAGGGGTCCCTCCTCCTGCGTCTTGGCTCCCCCTTCCCCCTGTTCCCCTTCGCCTGGGGCCGATCAGGAGCAGCCGCAGGTGCAGAAGATGGAGGAGAAGAGGGAGGATCGGCTATGGGCTTGTTGTTTCTCCTCGCGGCTTGATAGTTGGTGGTGGTTTCTGTGCTGTTGCAGGGTGGCTGTTAGGTGTTTTCTGACGTCTTGGACGTGGGAGGGAGGGGGGCAGGGCCATATTCTGATCTGCCCACAAGCTTACCCAATCATGTCAAGGGTTATGGTAACACGATCCCCGACGTCCTGATAGTTCTGTCAGCGCGTGGGGATCCCGATGTTTCTTCCACGTCTTCAGCGTGGATTTCGCGCCTCGATTAGTCTTTGTGGGCCCTGGGGGCCCCAGGCGGGCCTCCAGACCCCCCCCGCCGCAGTCTTTGCTAGGACGCTGCTATCGCCACAGGTTCCAGAGTGCAACTAGTTCTGTGGTGCACCACTGTCTCGAGCAGGCCGCAAGTACGACCCGATATGTGGACGCGGGCCTCTGCGTGGGGCCCCTCCCTGCAGGTTTTCGAGGGGTCTGTGGAGGCCCAAGGAGAACCCCAACGCTGACGCAAATGTTTGCTAGCATGACCCCAACCTGTGGTTCATTGCACTTTGCATGTGCGAGGTATGACGTGCAATCAACTTATGGGGCGCAGGCTACGTGGTGCAATACATGCGGCGCAAGCTTTGGGATGCAAGCCATGAGGCGCAAGCTAGGTGGTGCAACTTGTGCGGTACAAGCTGCGTGATTGAATTTCTGTGGTGTACGCTATGCGGTGCACGCTATGCGCTACAAGCTATGTGGCGTAGCCTGTATGTGGTTTACGTTATGCGGTGCCCACCCACAACTTAATTGGAAACACCCATTCGGCCACAGTTCCGGATAGTAATTGGCATTTGCTGGCGCATCTCTGCGGCCGCGCTGGCGCGCGCACGCTCGTACGCAAGGCGACCAGCTAGTTCAGCACAACTGAGGCGGCCGCAATGGAGCTTACCGATTGGAACTAGCGCTTCTCAAGGTCGCGTTAACGCGCGGACACTTCAGTGCGGGTCGGTGACTTGGGCGGGCGCGACTTCATGATGACGACTCTGACGGTGGCAACCATGATGATAGTAGCCATGGTGGTGGCGATGATGACGATGACGACGGCAATGCCAGTGATTGCGCAGATGTTGGTGACGATGATGACACAATTGTGATGTCCATGCGCCGGCGTTGATGACTTCGGCAATGGCTGCGATTAGCGACGACGATAACGGCGGTGATGCGATGGCGCTGATGAGGGTGATGAGGACGTTCGCGCGCAGCAGTTCAAGAACACCTTCAGACCTGTTTAACAACAGTTGGGGTGTGTTCATATGTTTCTGGAGAGCTCTATGCTGTGAAATGATTCGAACGCCAATGGGCTTGGAAGGAATTCGACACGCGCGCGTGGCGTCGCGTACGTGTGACCCGCATGGTTTTACTTGATACGGGTTCGCACACTGGGCGCATTCTAGATCAACGCGAATGCGCCGCGCGATGAGATGAAAACTCAAATTCTGGACGAGATAGCTAAACTCACATGGTTTAACCATGTGTTCCGCAAGTGCGCGCGGGCAGAAAATCTAAAGGTCTTTTGGTGAACAATGTGTTTGGTAGGGCTTCGACATGTGCGAGCTTGTGGACGTTGTGGTAGTTGTTTGCCAGGTGTTCTTGAAACGTGCTATTGTGAGATAAACGAGCGTGCTTGCAGGCTATCGTTTGACAGGGACGTGTGGGGCTGCCAATATTGGCCAGGCTGGGATGGTACGAATTCCCTTCGACAGTTTTTAACGATAAGGTGGAATTATATGTAGGCTGCAAGGTTCCAGATTGGACCCTTCTGCCCGGGAGCGTCAGGGTGGTAGAGTCTACTCCTCTTCCGAAAAACAGAGTCGATGTGGCGCAATCTATACGGTGCGATCTTTGTGGCGCAAGTTCTGCAGTTCCCCACCGGGCGCTAACGAGGCTCCCACGGGCAGGCACCAGTCGAAGCCTCTGCGGACCCACCCAGCACACCGGGCGGAAACAGTATCTTCCAGGAGGAGGAGGAGGACCCGAACTGGTCACGGAACCAGCCGCATCAAACATCATCAGCAGAAATGGCAGCATGAGTAGAAGCATACCACATTGGACACGAAGCCGCAGGTGTTATTTCCGATGCCAGCAGCTTAAGACTCGACGGCGCCCAGGGGAAAGAGGACGGAGGAGCTAGGCGGCGTTGGCTGTGCGCCGCATCCCGCCCCGCGACCGCCCTGCGAGGAGCTGCAGGCCGCCGTGCAGGGGCGCAGCGTAGAGGCCCTCGGCCGTCCCGCCCAGAGCACCTCCGCCCTCGGAGCTGCTACGGGAGCGGCGCTGCCCAGCGACCCGTCCGCGCCTCGCGTTGGGGCCCGAACGTGGCGTTCCGGAAGGGGCATCGCCTTCGTCGCTTCCTGGCCCTCGGAGGAAACGGCGGAAGTAAATCGGCTACGCGTAAGAGTGACCTTTCGCCAGAGTGACTGTTAGTGCGGGCCCACATGGGTCCCGCCAGCACTGGCTGGTGCGCTTGGATTGCTTGGATGTCGTTCCTATGCTGCCCCGTGGAAGCGCGCATCAAAGGACATTTTTGCCCAGTGTTGTTTTTGCTTGTAGCCGTCTAAAGCAGCGGCGGATCGGCGGGCAGATGCCAGCGGAAGGTCGGCGGAAGGTGTTGGAAGTAAAAGGGACACGTCAGCATTGGATCCAGGGCTTCTGGAATTCGGCACAGATTCACCACCAGGGCAACTGATCTCCGAGGACCCCAGGAGGAGTTGGATTTGGTTATCCGAGTGAGGGGGCCGAACGGTCTTACGCCATCCCTGGGTGCGTGGCTGAAGTATGATTTCGCTGTGCAGATTAGTGTTCTTGCGTTGCGTTGCGTTGGCTGTTGTCGACGTCCCCCCCGACCCACCCGAAACCCACCCCGCGACCCACCTTGCGCTCTCCCCATCTTATTTGCAATTGCGGGATGTATGTATCCGCCCCCCGGGCCCCAATTTTATACACATCCACCGCCACCTGGGGTCCTTGGAGATCGGTTCCCCAGGCGGCTGAACCCCAGCCTCGCACACCAGGAAATTGAAGGCGTATGGGCGCTGGCGCACACATGTCAGCGGAGCTCCATCGCCTGAGGATGCTGGAGCTCACGTTTCGCAGGAGCGATCTGGCTTCGGCCAGATCTGGGGCCCCAGAGCCTCTTCCCCGCCCTCGTCTCTCCGCACGCCGCCGACATCGAGATCTGTCACTGCCGCGCGCACGTGTCGAGGGGCTGTCCTGTGCGAGAGGTGGATACACGCTGCGCATGTCTTTCTGGCGCTCGGCCCGCTGCCGGCCAGCAGAAGGGGGAACCGTCAGCCTGCCGCACGCGCATCTGGCGGATGGCCTCCGACGTTTTCGGGTCCCAGCCCGGTGTGCTCTCAGCGTTCTTGTGGGCCTCCGGTTGTGTGGCCCCGTGCTGGGTCCGCAGGATTTCCAGGGACCGATTCTGCTGGAGATGCCCAATCTATGGGGTGGAGCTGGATCAGGAGGATAAGCAAGAGCAGGAGGTTTGTTGATGATAGTGCTGAAATGGGTGAGGCCATACCGATACATTATGATCCCGAAGTAGCTGATGCACGGACGCATGGAGTGATGCAGGCAGGCAGACAGACAGGCAAGATAGGAGGAGTGTAACAGAGAGGGAGAGATAGAGAGAGAGAGAGAGAAAGAGACAAGGAGACAGTGAAACATAGAAAGATATACATATCTGTGTATATACATTGCGCCTCGCTTCATAGTCTGTGAAACCAGACTGCATTGGCGCTTCGCGCCACGCGGCTTGTTCCGCACGCTTCACCGGCAAAACAATCGATCATCGCTAGCTTCAACAGGAGGGACCTGGAGGCCTGGACGGGCGACCTGGTCATTTTTCTGATATCCCTGGTGCCTGCTGACACCGCGTTCGCCCGATGCGCTTGCAAGCTTGTGCGTAGGAGTGCGGAAGGAATGAGGTTTTTTTCACGCGCGAAGGTGCTGGCAAACGACGAGCATCAATCTGTTACGATGGCACTTGTCCATGAACAGGAACGGGGAAGGGAGCAGGGATGAAGGGGGGGCTGGAGAGGCGGAAGGGGGGAGGAGGGGGGGAGACCTGTCCCTTTCGATCGAGGATTTTAACCTCGAGCCTCAAGCGTGGAACCAAGATCTTCGGGCCAGTTCGATGTACTTCGTAGGAAAACGACGTCTGGGCTTTTTGGGGGGCTTTTTTGGGCCGTCCTGGGGCCTTCTTGGGCCGTCTTGGGGAGCTGGGGCCATCCAGAGGTCTTCTGAAGCCATTTAGGGCTTTCTTGGGGGCCTCCAATGGCCTTCTTGGGGGGGTCCCATGACTTTCGTGGGTCTCTCTTAGGAACCCTCTGGGGGCATCTTGGGTTCCTTGTGGCCAGTCTCGGGGCTCTCTGGGGCAGTCTTGGGGCTCTCGTGGTCCGTCTTCAAACCTTTTGGGGGGCCTCTTGGGCTTTCTTGGGGCGATATCGGGGGCCCATCGGGCCGTCTTGGACGCTGCGAAGACCCCACAAGCGGACGGATATGCTAAACATATGCATCTTCCTCAGGTAATGGGGCGATGTTTGCTTCTTCGGGGCTCTCTTCACGCCCTCTTGGAACGTCTTGGGGACCTCTTCGACCGTCTTCAGACCATCGAGGTTCTTCTTGGAGCGCTCTTGTGCTGCCTTGGGTCTCTCGTGCGCGTTTCCGATTACACTTCTGATCGCCGTGAGTCTGCTTGCGAGGCTCAGCAAGGCGCCCTAGGAGGCCCTGAAGGGCCAGCGGACCTTTTCCAAGGGCGTCCAGGGGGCCGCCGAGACGTCTGAAAGGGCGTCTGGGGCGTCCCTGTGTGTGTGTGTGGGTGGGGGTCCGGGTAATAATAAACAAAGAATCGGAATACAAGTGGCACGTGTGTGCCCAGGCTCATACAAAAAAATTGAAAAGGGCGTTTGAAGCAGGAAGACACCATGACGGCGGGATCGGAGATGGAGAAGGGGAAGCTGGGGCGTCGCCGCCAGGGCGTGCCTCCTCCTGCTCCTCCTCATCCTTCTGGCTCGCCACAATCACACGAACATGTAGCACCAGTGATGCAATATGGGCTGGCGGAGTGAGCGAAGCGATTAACCAGAGAAGTGTAAGCACGATTCCCACCAGCCGATTTGATTTGTTTCACCAGACAATTTGTGGAGGGAAAGAGAAGGAGGAGAAGAGGAGGAGGATAGCTGCTGGGAGTGAGATGCAATAGCGAGGTCGCACTCGAGCGCAAGTGGGGTTGCCACATCTTGCGATTTGTGTGTACCAGGGCCCCCCAGGAAGCCTCAGGAGACCCGACTTGGATACCGGAAGAGGCTCCAGGAGGCCCCAGGATTGGGAGTGTTGTGTGTGTGTGTGTGATGTTTGCTCTGTGTTATGCGTGTTTTCTGTGCGTTGTAGGTGTTGTGTGTGTTATGTTTGTCTAGCGTGTGATGTGTTAGGTGTGATTTGTGTCTCTGTGTGTGCGCATATAGTCCTGAGGCCCCAGGAGGCCCCAGGAGGCCCCAGGCGGCCTCAGGAGGCCCCAGGAGACCCCAGGAGGCTCCAGGAGGCCCCAAGAGGCTCCAGGAGGCTGCAGGAGGCCCCAGGAGGCCCCAGGAGGTTCCAAGAGACCCCCAGGAGGCTCCGAGGCGGGGTCTGGGGTACCAGAAGGTACAGAAAGCACCAGGAGGCCCCAGGAGGTTCCAGGAGGCCCCCAGGAGGCTCCGAGGCGGGGTCTGGGGTACCAGAAGGTACGTCGGGGCTCGATTTTCGAAGGATGTCTCAGGCGAAACCGCCATTCTCTGAGAATCGGGGTCAAAATCATTGAAATTACAATGTGTTTTTGAAGGTTTGATGTTAAAACGTTGAAATTCCCATGTGTTGTTGGACCCTGACGTCACGATCTGTGTGAGGGGTGCCACCGATTTTCAGAATTTCGAGGATGTCCCTAGCGGAACTGCCAGAAACATCGCGAACGACGCGGCGCGTACGCATTAATCGCCTCTAAGCTCTCCTCCTTCGGAGAGGTGCGTATGATAATATATATATCCCGGGGGACGAGGTCCCCCGGCCGAGCCCAAGGACCTCGGGGGCGCATGGGGGTGCAGGGCCCCCGGAGCCGCTCGAAAGGGTTCCCGTTCGGCTCCAGAGACCGCCAGGGCGGGCTCCAGCCCAGCCAAGACAGCCCGCGAGCGCTCCAACACGCGCCAGCATGGCTTCCAGACGAGCCCAGCGGCCACCAACACGTCCCAAGCGGCCTCCAAGACGCCTCCCAAGAGAGCCCCAAGAGGCACAACACGTTGTTTGTTTTCATTGTTTTTTTCAATGTTTTTTGTTTTCTCGCTTTTCCTGCTTTCCGACGCTCCAAGACGGCCCAAGAGGCCCCCAAGAGAGCCCCAGGACGGCCCAAGAGGCCCCTAAGCCGGCCCCAAGACGGTCCAAGAAGCCCCCAAAGGCGTCCCGAGACGGCCCAAGAAGCCCCCAGGACGGCCCAGGAGCCGCCCAAGACAGCTCCAGGAGGGCCCCGCCATGGCCTGAAGACTGCCTAAGCGAGCCCAGCGGACCTCCAACACGCGCCAGCATGGCCTCCAAACGAGGCCAGAAGCCACCAACACGCCCCAAGCGGCCTCCAAGAGGCCTCCCAAGGAGCCCCAAGAGGCCACAAACGTTGATGTTTCATTGTTTTTTTCTATTTGTTTTGCCTTCTCGTTTTTTCTGTTTTCCGACGCTGCCAGACGGCCCAAGAGGCACCCAAGACAGCCCCAGGACGGCCCCAGAGGCCCCTGAGCCGGCCCCAAGACAGCCCAAGAGGCCCCCAAAAGCGTCCCAAGATGGCCCAAGTGAGCCCCAAGACAACCAAGGAGCCGCTCAAGACAGCCCCAGGAGGGCCCCGACATGGCCTGACGACTGCCTAAAAGGCCAGCGAGCCTCCAACACGCGCCAGCATGGCCTCCAGACGAGCCCACAGGCCACCAACACGCCCCAAGCGGCCTCCAAGAGGCCTCCCAAGAGAACCCCAAGAGGCCACAAACGCTGATTTGTCATTGGTTCTTTCGATGTTTTTCGCGTTCTTGCTTTTTTTGCTTTCCGACGCTCCAAGACGGCCCAAGAGGCCCCCAAGAGAGCCCCAGGACGGCCCAAGAGACCCTTAAGCCGGGCCCAAGACGGCCCAAGACGCCCCCAAAGGCGTCCCAAGACGGTCCAAGAGCGCCCCAGGACGGCGCAGGAGTCGCCCAAGACGGCCC